CATTTTTTTACAATATACAGTGAACCCTCCCCTTTAACAAAACGCATCAAAATAATGTTAAATTGGGCCAAACCCATACATTTTAAACGAAAAACCTTTTGCCTCGCTAATAAAAAAAAAACTTGCCAACATATTCGTTTTTGGTAAAAAATTTAAATATCTTTGGGTTAAGGTCCACTGAAAATTAAAAAACTTTTTTTAAATTAAATAAATTTTAAAAACATTTAGCACCTCCCCCAAATTTTCTGTTCTTTTAAAAATACACTTGATAATTAGGGGGTGCTGCCCCAACTTACGATGGAATTACTTTTCCAAAAACCCATTATAAAAAAAATAGCTAATTTTAAAAAATTAAAATTTATGATACGAAAAAAAAAAGGGAATTTAAAAAAATTTTTTTTTTTTTTAACAATCAGCCGTCCCCACCAGAAAAGGGTTGACCCAAAAAAAGAAAGAAAACCCCCCAAAAAGAAAATACTTTCATCATCATTCAACACTTTCACCCACCACACAAAACCTTTTTTTTTTACAGAGTCCCCGAATAAAACCCGCTTAGAAGCAATATGTATAAAGAACACAACATCCCCCTCCAAACTGCCAATATTCCAAACCCCCCTTTTAAAGTACAGGCTTTGAAATTTTCCCTTTTTTCAGGACTCAATTCGGGCTATTAAAAAAAACCGGTTTCCCTGAACCCCTTCACTAAATAAAACCCTGCTCACACCCCATAGCTCATCGGGCCCCCAAAATACTTTTGTCCCCCTTCACCCTATCAAAACACGCTCATGCACCTTGGTGGAAACCCAAAGCCCCCTCCCACAAAACCCCCTTTTAAACCCCCCTCCCCCCAAATCCTTTTCAAGGACAACCCTACCCCCCCCTTCCTTCTCCTACAGATTTAAAAACGCCCCACCAAGTCATTTTAAACGGGGGATCCATTCTCTTTTGAATGAAAAAAAACCACCCCCAAACAACCCTCCAGCCGCAGCTTAATACTTTTTTTTAAACTCCACCCCTTTCTCCTAATTTCCACACTTCCAAATTTTCTGCATAATATTTCACCCCCACATTTCCCTTAGACAGGACCCCTCTACACTGCCTCCAACCGCCTCCTTGCTGCGGCATTCACAACCCAAGCTTCACAACCAATAAGACCGGGGGTAATTATACATGTACTGTCAATATTCCCTTCTTTGCCTCCATAGATTTAAAGTTTTTTTTCCCCCACATAAACCTCAACACACCACTTGCCTTTTTTTCCCTTTATCAAATTTTAGATTAACCTCATCCTTCATAAAACCATCGCTTTACACCTCAACTCTTTAAAAATCTGAAAACATTCACTTCTTCCACACCCCCCTCCTCCCGAATTTTATACCAATTTTTTTTTTAACCTAAATCATTTTATACCCCATCACCTTTCTCTTTTTTAAATTTTACTTTTAAAATTTTTAACCCTTTTTCAAAACACTCCCCCAAAATTTATCCCCCTAACCTTTGCAATTTTCTTTTGGGAAACTCCCATAAGCACAGTAACATCAGCAAAAAAAAAACTGGCAATTCCCATTTTGTATTTTAATTTTTTCCCTAATTTAATCCCCCCCCTCTCCCAAAAACCCCAGCATTTACTTCTTTTTTAAAAACCCCTCCCATAAATACTTTTAAAAATTTTAATTTTCCCGGGCGAAAATAAATGTCCCCTTTCGAGGTAAACCCTGTTTTGAAGTATATATACTCTAAAATTTTAGCGGCTTCAAATTTAAGCCCGGAGAAAGCTGGGAGGCCCCACGTGAAAAGAAAAGGGGGCTGTGTGGTCAGTGTGCACCAAAAAAAAAAATCCTGGGGCCGCAGTGCATAATGAGGAAAAAAAAAAACCCCCCGACTGTTCTTTTTAAAATTTAAAAAGCCGACTTTTTGGTCTATTTTCGTATAGTAATTTTTTGGTTTTATTCCCCTTTTCTTTGGGCTCATTGGGAAAATGGATTCAAAAGGTTTTTTGGAAAAAAAAAAAAAAAAACATTCTTCAATGGAAAACACTTGATTTAAAAACACCCCCCACCCATTCTAAAACTTTCCCTTCTCATCCGCAAAGGGGGTTTAAAAAAGGGGCTTATGCTGATGATACGGGGCCCTTTTGGGAGATTCAAAAAAAAAAATTTCAAAGGTTAGTGGAATTTGTTTTGGGGGTGTTGTAAAGGTAAAAGTTGAAAGGAACATTGAAAAAAGTAAGGTGATGAGGGTATCAAAAGAATTTTGATAAAAAAAAAATTAGATATCAAATTGGGGAAGAGGGGTATTAAAATGAATGTTTTTAGATACTTGGGGGTTTTAAAGTGTCGGCGGTTTATTTTATTTAAAGGGTAGGGTTTAACATAGAATTGATAGGGGAAAAAAAGGGGAGTGGGGTGTTGAGTAAATGTGGGGACAAAAAAAAATTATCTATGGGTTTCGGGAAACTTGGGGGTGAAACAGCAGCGAGGAGGCGGTTTGGGGGAGTGGAGATGGTTCCCGTCGAAGGGCAATGTGTGGTGAAATATTATGCCCAAAAAATTTTTTGTGTGGAAATTTGAAGGTTTTGGAATTAATAAAAAGTTTTTAGTCAAAGATTTTAAAAGGGGTTTTTTTGAGGGGTTTGGCCATTTTAAAAAATGGATCAAAGTGAATGCATGGAGAGCATTTAAATCCCGTAGGGAAAGGAAGGGAGGGTAGGGGGGCGTCCTTGAAAAGGGTGGAAGGGGTAAGGGAGGATTTTTTTGGGCAAGGGGCTTGGACTTTAGCAGGCTGCACCCACGGTTTTTATAGGAAATGAAAGGAGACGAATGGGGAATTTTTTGGGGCCTTTATGTCTTTGGAGTGTGACAGGGGAATATTTTGTAAGGGGTTCAGGGAAATCGGTTTTTTTTTATATAGCCGGACTTGAGTCCTGGAAATGGAAAGTACAATGCCTGCACTCTAAAGGGGGGGTTTCGGGATATTTCAGTTGGAGGAAATTTTTGTACTTTATAAAGTATATGCTTTTAAACAGTTTGAGGCAAACCCCTCAAAAACAGTGATTAAGTGTGAGTGAGGTGAAAGTGTTGAATGATGAGCGAAAGAAATTTTTTTTTTTGGGGCACTCTGCCTCGGTGGGGGAAACCCACTTTTTTAAAAAAAAAAAAAAAAAAAAAAAAATTGAGTATACCTTGGGAAAGAGCTTTGGGAAGGTAAATTTCTGAAAAAATTTAAAAATAAGACGGAGAGTTTGGATAGCAGATGAACAAGGGGGCTTTAGGGGAGTAGGGGGGGGTGTAGAACCCCAATGTTTTTTCAGTGAAACATATAGGGTTTAACAGTATTTTTTAAAAAAGGGGAAAGAGGTTTTTGTGACAAATTTTTGGAAATTTGGGAAAAGGGATATGACAGGGTGGGTTGGGGGCAATGTGGCAGACGCCAGGGGGATGGGACAGGAGGGAAAATTTTCTGAAACCGAAGAGTTTTTTAAAGAGGATAGTGGGGGCTCAGGTTAGATTAAAGTAGGAGAGGGGGGAGATTATTTCCCCGTAAAAGTAGGCCTTAAACAAGGATGTGTGGGTGTCACCCCTTTGGTTTTTCAATAAAATTTATAGATGGGGTTGTAAGAGAAGTGAATGCGAGGGGCGGCAAGAGGGGGTTTGGGGTTAAAAAATAAAATCTAAAGCAAAGTAATTTTTCACAATTGCTCTTTGCTGATGGCACGGGCTTTTGGGGGGATTCCCGAAGATAATTTTCAAATTTTGGGGATGAATTTGGTAGGGGAAGTAAAAAAAAGAAAAATTTAAAAATGAATAAAAAAAAGAGTAAGGTGATGAGGATAACAAAAAAATTAGGGGACAAAAGATTGGGTAAACAGATTGGAGGAGAGTAAGGAGGAGGGAATGTAAACAGATATGTAGGAGTGGACGTGTTTACAGATGGGGCTATGAAATTCGGTGAAACACAGAATTGATGAGGGGAAAAGGGTGAGTGGTGCACTTAGGAGTCTGTGGAGACAAAGAACTTTGTCGTGGAAGCAAAGAGGGAAATGTATGAGAGTATAGTTGTACCAACACTCTTGTATGTGTGTGAAGCATGGGTGATGAATGTTGCAATGAGGAGGAGGATGGAGGCAGTGGAGATGTCATGTCTGAGGGCAATATGTGGTGTGAATATAATGCAGAGAATTCGTAGTTTGGAAATTAGGAGAAGGTGTGGGATTATCAAAACTATTATCCAGAGGGCTGAGGAGGGGTTGAAGTGGTTTGGACATGTAGAGAGAATGGAACAAAACAGAATGACTTCAAGAGTGTATAAATCTGTAGTGGAGGGAAGGCAGGGCAGGGGTCGGCCTAGGAAGGGTTGGAGGGAGGGAGTAAAGGAGGTTTTGTGTGCGAGGGGCTTGGACTTCCAGCAAGCATGCGTGAGCATATTTGATAGGAGTGAATGGAGACAAATGGTTCTTAATACTTGACGTGCTGTTGGAGTGTGAGCAAAGTAACATTTATGAAGGAATTCAGGGAAACCGGTAGGCCGGACTTGAGTCCTGGAGATGGGAAGTACAGTGTCTGCACTCTGAAGGAGGGGTGTTAATGTTGCAGTTTTATAACTGTAGTTTAAAGCACCCCTCTGGCAAGACAGTGATGGAGTGAATGATGATGAAAGCTTTTCTTTTTCGGGGCCACCCTGCCTTGGTGGGCATCGGCCAATGTGTTAATAAAAAAAAATAACTAAAACCTGCAACATTTCTACCCAGGAGCAGTGTAACACGATCTTTGAATGCTTCGAATCCCAGCATTGACTAATGAATGTGCATCACTACTGTACCATCATAAAGTCAAAATATCGTAAGTTGAACCATCGTAAAGCGAGGAGCATCTGTACATATTTGCATCTGTTCTTCCATTATTTTAAGGTCCTATCTTGACTTATAATAGTCACTATTTTTAAGGTACTGTACAGTGGCTACAAGGTAAATTAACAACTATAAAGAAAATATCACAAATTACCTTAGCTATGAAAGAGACAAATGCCCGTCTGAATGGCAATCGGCACTTGAGGAACCACATAGCAATGACGTGGTAGGCAAGAGAGACAATGTAGTGATTGAACTTGAAGGGATTTGTGTACGGTATGGCTATGGCGAATATTGACATATACTGGTCAGACACGAAGCTTGCATACACTTTTGGCAAATGGAGAAGAGCTGAAAAATTTGTTGATGTAAAAATTAATTTGTATAAAAGATGTTTGTTAAAAATATGTTACATACAAAAGTGATCATTCTGCTGTATCTGCAAACATATGTATTATGCTAATAAAGTTATTCTATCTTAATGATATGCACATAGGATAATTCTGTCTTATTCCTATGCTTTATATGAAGTAAATGGTAGTATATCATATAAACTTACTTGAAAGAAACTCCAAGATTGGGTGTGCATTCTGAACAGTAGCAGTGATTTTTGAAAGATTTAGCATAACCTCTCGCAGTAATCTGATCATTGAGTCTCTCATCTCCAACACACACAAGGTTAGGGCACTCACACAGAATGGACCTGCACACCGACTTAGTACACCTAATTCTAAACACTTGATTACCTGTAAAAAAATAAAAGTCTAATTACAGGTAATATTCTCCAATCATTAATAAACTGAACAGTTTTTTATGCAGTTGAATTTACAAGCTAAGTGTTTGTATCCCACCTCACCTCATTTCATTTCAAAACCCAGTCTTATTTAAAGTATACAGTACTCCTATTTCTCCCTTCCCCAAATGTGACTTACAGCAGTCAGATAACATCTACATGCCGTCTATCTGTACAAATTCATAGGCTGCCATGTTTGATTTTAATTATCAAACTTTTGTTTGCTGATGAGGAGCCAGTGAATAGTTTCAATTATCCAATGTTTTTCTGGCATAATGGCATTCCACCACTCAAATCTCTCTATTCTGATAATTTCTTGTATCAATATTAACCCTTAAATTATGCATGACATTTGTTGTACATATGCAGGAGCTTTTTTTTTGTGCCTGACATATAAATGTGAATTTTTGTAGGCCACAAATTTGCTGCCAGCTGCTATTTTATACTTCATCTCAATCATTTTTGTGTCCTGCCAATTTGTATGCTTAGATTATACAACAGTAGAAGATAATTATATCATAATTTTTAAAGTGGTGGACTGGTAAGCCAGCGGAAGGCCTCGGCCAGATGACCAAAGCTCCAAAGGCGGGTCATCATCTGACTAAGACCCACGTCAGGAAACATTTGTCCTGTTTCCTGACGAACCTTACCTAACCTAACCTACAACAGTAGAACATATAAACAAGATGTGAGACAAGCATCACTGCATCTATACAAGTTTCTTAATTTTGGCTTGTGTATATAGTATTTGTATACTGTTTACAATGGTCTTGAGGGCACACACATGTTATGGGCACATAAAAGTATGTGGCAGCATATGTATGTATATTTTTCACCCAGGATGACCCAAGTAAGTCAATGGAGCTTATTTTCATGTTTTGAGAATTAAAAAAAACTCTGAGACAATTTTCATATCAAAAGCTTATTCAGAATTAAGGAGTACATAAAAACGAAGGCTAAACCTGAACAAGTTTTAATTTAGAAACCCTTTTGGGAAGGAAAATCCCAAGGGGGACTACATCCCTCAAGGAAAACACTCCCAACATTAACCTATAAAGACGGGTTATTTTCTCATTTTGAAAGAATTGATTGAAATTAAGCCTTTTTGTATCACCAAAACTCCCAACTTTCAAAAAAATTCCCCAAAATTTTTTTGTGTTAGGGAAAAACAAAAGGGGCCCATGGGTCACTGGGGATTTTTTTTAATTTTACAACTTTGGTAAAAGTTTACCATAAAAAAATTAAATTAATCCCGGGGTTTTGAAATGCCCCCCTTCATCCTCAACTGAAATTTTGGGAATAATATTAAGGAAAATTTTTCCCCAATACCATTTTTGCACCCCAGGACCAAGGTTTTTTCCAACTTAAAGAAATGTAACAAAAGCTCTGTTTGAAATCTTTTTGCCTCAAAACTAATATTAAAATTTTAAAAGATTTTTAATACCCTAATTTTTAAACCTTAAGGAAAGGGTTTTTGGAGGAAAAAGTACTAAAAGGCCGACTCGTTTAAAAAACTCCAAAGGAAAAGGTTTTGAATTTTTATAACCCCGAAAAATTTCCATTGGGGGAAACTTTTGGGTTTTAAAGTCCTTGGGGTTGGATTTGGGGGGGGAAGGTTAAGGTTGGGGAAGGACAATGAAAAAAATTTTGGGAGCTGATGATAATTTTCAAGAGCCAAAAGGCAATAAAAACTTTTTCGGGGGGGGGAAAAAATTAAAGAATTGCCATACAAAAAAAAAGGTTTGAAAAGTTTGAAAAACCCATGGATAAAATCCCCCCTCCCCAGTATTGAACCTTTTTTTAATGACCAAAATGTTGTAAAACTTTGGGGAATTGAAAAAGGAAAGGGGACGGGCCACTATGGAACAGATTTTTCGAAGAATATACTCAAGGGGGCCAGGGGATTAAAAAAAAGGGGGGAAAAAACCCCCAAAAAGGACTTACTCCTAAATAAAAGGGAAGGGGGTTTCCCCTTTAAAACTCAATCTTCCCTTTTCCCCTCCCACAACAAAAAACCAAAAAATAAGGTCAAATTGACCTTTTTCCGGGTTTTGTAAAATTTTTAAACTGGGAAAAAAAAAAAATTTTTTCTATTTTTGGGTTCCACGTTAATTTTTAAATTTCCTTTATTTCTTTGGGGGAAAAATTCATTATAAGATTATTTGAAAACAATTCCCCCTTTGCAGGTTTAAAATTGTTTAAGGGGGGTCCCGTACACCACCCTCCCAATGAGTTAAAAGGGAAGCCATACTTATTTTAATAATGATGGGATTGCGGTATTTTTTTTTTTTTTCGTCTCATAAGCAGCAAAATTCAGGTACGCTTGCATTTGGTCACACACACATGCATGTTCTTTCTTTTTTTTTTCCAACGCATGGGCCGTACCTACTGAGGTGGGGGGGCCCAAAAGGAAAAAAAAAAATTTTCTCCTTTTACATTAGTAATATATACAGGAAAGGGTTACTCCCCTTGTCCGGGCATTTTAGTGCCTCTTACAATACGCATGGCTTATGGGGGAAGAATTCTGATCCATTTTCCCCATGGAGATACAGGAAAAAATAAAAAACAAGAACTAGTAAAAAAAGAAGAAAACCCAGGGGGGTGTGTTATTATATATTGTAATTATGTTAGTGTGACCAAAATGTATGTAGTAGAAAGCGTCCCTGAAATCTTGTATGTTTATAAGGACAAAAAAAAGACACCACAATCCTACCCTCATGTAAAACAAAAACAGGATTTACAGTGGGAGGATTTCTGGTGTCTTTTTTTGTTCATAAAATACAAATTTCAGGTAGGGGGGGGGGGCTTGCTACTACTACTTACACTTAGGGCCCCTACACATACATGTACAAGTAATATTATATACAACCCCTTTGGTTTCTTCTATCTTCTTTCTAGTTCTTGTTCTTATTATTTTCCGTTATCTCCATGGGGAAAAAACGAAATTTTTCCTCCCTAAGCCATAAATGTCGAAGAGGTACTAAATGCCGGGAGCAAGGGGGGTAGTAACCCCCTTTTGTAAAAAAAACTAATTTAAAAAAAAGAAACTTTTTTTTTTCTTTTTTTTAAAAAAATTTCATGCGGATTATTGGGCAAGCATCTAACCATTTTTAAAAACAGGTCCCCCACATTCGCGTTTTCCATTTTTTGCAGGCTTCGAACATGAGCGAATTCCCAGCCGCCCAATCATATTTAAAATATGCCATTACATATACGTATTAGGAATTTTGGTGGGGGAGTGTGTTTTTGGGGATAGGGCAAGATAGTCCTTTAATTTGACACTAAATCAACTCTACGGGGTTATTATCTATCACAGTTCATCTAAATGACATAATAAACAATATTAATAACATAGAAACATGACAAATACTCTAGAATGAATAAAATACATCATTAAGTATGTCACGAGTGTTGCTGTTGTTGTTGTTGGGTGTATAAGGGGCCCCTGAGACATAAGCCCCCTACATGTGGGGGGTGGGGGCAGCAGTAGAGGGGGTAGGATAAGACGGGGAGTGCTGTCAGTCCCCTTTAAAAATCCAACAACATTGGGGAGTTAGGTTTTGGCTGTCCTTTTTTTTATTATTAATTGCTTAACTTTCTTTGATACATTTTTAATGCTACACTTCATCTTGGCTGGCGCTATAGCCTTCTCCCATTGGCGCTTTTGTTTCATACATATCATAGAATCACTGAAGAAGGGACATTCCCCCTCTCTCTTCTTTCTCCATCTGGTACCCCTGGGTTTTTCTTTTGAATTCAATGTCTTTTTTACCCTTTTTACAAAGGGGTGGCACTAGTACAATATTTTAAAGACGTTTTTACGTTTTTTGTGATTGTTCACAGTTCAAAAAAGGTTAAGGGAAACGTACTGTTTTATTTCCCCATAATATATTGGGGGACCAAAAATTCCGAGGGTTTGATCCCTAACCCTTGCAATGTTGCGGGGGACCTGTACTATACTAAAAAAACCTTGAAACACCTCTATATTATAAGAAAAAAATATACATGTGTCAGACATAAAGACAAAAAATAAATAAAAAAGGGAAAGGAAGGCACATAAGTGATATACTATACCTTTTGTTGAATGCTGTTCCATGTGCATGTGGGATGAGCTAGAGTTGCCACACTGGGAACACAAACTCTGAAAATCTGTCCGAGTAAATTTTTGGTGGGTTGTTTTATGGGGGCTCAGGTAAAACCCAAAATTTCCTGTAATCTTTAAAGAAACAAAAATTTAAAAAGTACACATTTTTAAATACATAAAATTTTTTAATTTTAAAACCTATTTGAAAAAATTTACAAGAGAACATTTTGTCACACAAAACGGATGGAAATTTTTATTATATAAAAAGGGCAGAGTACTTATTGATTTTAGTTCAGGAAAACAAAACTAGGGAAAAAAAAAGAGGGTGTCCTTTTATTTCAATGATACTTTGACTATTTCAAGGGTTTTTAACTCCCCAAAAGCGGCTTGAGTCATTCTTTTTTTAAACCAGATACAATGCAGCAAAATTTGAAAATCGCTAATTTTCCTATTTTTCCCAGTCCTATTCACTGACAAATTGTTTTGTCTTCTCTTTTTATTTTTCAAATGAACTATACAACATGTAATGCTTCTAAACAAAAACCTGCCCCTTTTCCCCATTCAATTTTTCATATGAGACCCCCCAAATTTATCCTCTCATATCAGAAAGTGAAAAAAGGGTTTCTTTTCCCGAAAGTAGGTCCTGGGCGGGATGTGTGAGTCACCAAATTATTTAACAATTTTTAGAGTTATAAAAGGAAAAGGGGAAGATTAAAGATAAAAATCTAAAACAAATGGGGAAATTTCACAGTTGCTTTGTTGATGAAAAGGGCTTTTGGGAGTTTTGAAGCGAAGGGCAAAGGTTGGCAGACAAATTTGGGAGGGAAAGAAAAAAAAGTTAAAGGAACAAAAAAAGAGAAAATGGATGA